TGTGCTACTCCGCTCGCATGAATGAATTCTTGGTTCATTTGCACCATTTCGTCGTCATAATCTTCAGATCCGTCTTCCATATCCTCTAGCTCGTCTCCATTGTCATCGTCTTCTCCCTCCATCTCCGAAGTGCCACCAAGATTGACGACATGATCTTGCTGTTGGTAGTGCTGCTCTTTCTGTTGACTGTCTTCGACCTGTACGACAGATGGGTTCACAGTAGTGTCAAGACTCTCTGCATCAGTGTCGTAGAGATCACGCTTCTGACTTGGACCCGGACCTGATTGTCGATTTTGGAGGGGCGGCTGTAAGATGGCGGAGCTGTTCTGGGTAATGTTGAGTCCGCGCGCCGGAATACCAGAAGTCGCTTGAGGTTGCTGAACGGGATGTCCGTTTCTTATTGATACCCTCGCGTTGGCTGCATTGGCTTGGCGGTCGGGCTTGCTTTGAGGCTGACCAGCGGCAGGACTGCCGGTTCTCTGACGAGCGACAAAGCCTTGCATCGTGGGTAAAGAGAGAGCCACACTCACTCTATTACCTGGATATTTGTCGACGATCAGGTGAAGTTGAGGTTTGCGAGGTGAGTTGAGAAAGTGAGTGCTGAGGCTTGAATGGGAAAGCGCGTCTCTGATGATGCTCTAACTTCATCCGGACAAGCCTCGGCCCCGCCAAAGTGAGCCTAGCACCGCGATGACGATATCTTATCTCCGAGTCGTGGTGTTGCTCCCTTCGCCCATGTGTGTAGACTCGTGCCCCACGAGGTTTGACATTCTACGTTGGAACCTGATATACATACAATCGCATCTCACATCATGGGTGAATGCTATCTCTACAGGCTCCCCAATGAGGCACGCTTTCCTGTCACATCCGTACCTAGGTATCGCGTCCAACTTGCTAACCATTGCAGTTACTTCTCCACCTCCTTACGCCGATACCAACGCCCGAACTCCTACAATTGACCACGATATCGCATCGCATATACACGCTCATCTTACGTATCCTCCATAATCGGCTCACTGCAGCTGCCGAGCTACATTCGCACTCGGTGCTTCTCGAATGTTTCCATCCCTCTGCGAAGCTCACCGAGCCCCCGTACTTCTGTACATACCGATGCACCGATGGCTTGAAGAGTTACGATGATTACAACTCTGCTACAAAGGAGGTTGGCAGACTAGCCGAATACAACAACATGTACTCGCGCTTCAAGCCCCATAGGCGCGATTTGGAAGCGGATGGCAGGAGAGTGAAGCGCCGACCTGGAGACGTACCTGGCAGTCGTACCTTTCCGGGGGCAGTACAGGAGAGATACGAAAGCGAGACCGTGAGACAGACACTTGGGTTAGAGGCGCATGAACTGTTCACGCAGCTGGTTGCGCAGACGAATCTTGTCAAGATCGGTTCTCACAATCTCTTCACCAACTTTGTTGACATTGAAGAAGGTGTACTCCGAGTGTGGAGAGATTGGCTGCGAGACATTGCGACGAGGGGCTTGACGGCGAATACGGAGGTACCAAATGAGGTTGTTGAGGAGGTAGGTAAGGGCAAAGAGATCGTAAGAGAGGTGGAGGAAGAGAAAGCAGACTTGGACGATCCGCGCATCCTATGGGTTAGTCCGAGGAAGGACAGCGGCATACGTTTCAATGTCAGGGAACGGAAGCTTCGGAGGGACGCTCCGATCCTCATCAGCACAGATGAGGATATGCCAGTTACGTATGAAATTGAGTACGACGGTAAGTCCATGCATCCTCCTTGGTGTTGCAACGCTTGCTGATGTCCGGTAGAGCTCCTCATAAGAACGTCGCATCTCCTCTTAATGCTCGAAAGGTCCATGTTGCAGGAGGACAATTCATCTGGCAAAGCGGTTGTCTTCGGGTCTTTCGGATAGTTCAAGCAGTTCAAAAAAATGCACGCCAATTTCAGAAGAGTCATGGTCTCGTTGGGTCCAGATCCTCGGTTCTTGGTGGAGTCACCCCTCCTTGGCGCGATCGGTCAACCACAACGCACTAGGGCATCAACGCATCCCCTCCCACCCAACAGCAAAAAACATACATTATCCTAAGCACCCAGACGAAGAACAAGCTGACCTCGAGGCGATTCGAACGCCTAACCTTCAGGAGGTTCCAGGAGAACTGGAATCTGACGCGCTACCATTGCGCCACGTGGCCTGATTGGATGGAAAAAATTCATCCAAACATGCATATTATACCCAGCGTTTTACTCCTTACACAGCAACTTGATGAGAAAGTGCCAGTCGCGATGGCATCATTCCAGTTCTCAGTCTAGTCATCGAGTCCGATCCGCTGTCAGAAAGGCCACGTTTCCAATTCCAACGATCTGTATACGCTAATCCTACAACGTTCCTAGCATTACGCAACGGCTTTCTACCCCACTACTCCTATTCCCTAGCCCAGCATCTGAAAGATCTGGACCTAGATGGTGTCTCGAGTCCACCGACTACAACTGCCCCACCAGCAAAAGCCTTGTGCCCCCATGCCACACGCACGAGGGACGTTTTGTAACTGCTTCCCTGCACCCAGAGTCAGATTAGGAACATTTCAGTTCGATCACAATTGCTATCACAGTCGAGAATAGTACCGAGGATTCGTTAGGTCAACGATAGTCTTGTAGCCTAGAATCTGCACTAACCAGCCACCCTGTGCGGCGTAAGCCGGACGAACTACGTAAACATTTCGATAACACAATTGTGCAGGGCGCCTTCACAATAACCGATTGTAAATACATCAAGAAGAGGCTAAGAAGCAGAGATTATACTAGGAAACAGTTCGTAACACAGCGAAAACTAAGTAATAGAAACCGGGAGGTTCAGATGAAATTAAGAAGAAGTTCCAGCAGTCTAATAACAGCGTCTCTTATTGTATACCAAATTTTGTGCAACTTCAAGGCTAACACCTCTACAGAACTAGCAGTCAACTTTGCCTGGCACAGCGCAGCTGACGTTTTTATACTGTCTACTCTGCTACTACACCCATCAGCAAACATAACGCCTGCCGCCGCTCATCTTGAACCTATCTTACCTAGAGGCAGCATCTACGGCAGCTACAGAGCTATCCGTTGCGGCTACAGAAGCCTAGCAACTGATGCCGCATTTGCTGCTACTGGCGAGGTACCAGACGCAACCACCGCCCGCCTGCATTCATCCCAGCTTCCTCAGCTGCCGCAACGGCTGCTACTAGGGAGGTACCAGACGCAATCACTACTTGCTTGCCTTTATCTCAGCTTCTTCAGGTGCTGCAGCGGCTGCTACTAGAGAGGTATCAGACGCAATCACCACCCGCCTGCCTTTATCTCAGCTTCCTCAGCTGCCGGATCTGCTACTTCCAGCGAGCTTTCCCCTTTGCTACCAGCACCTATCAGTTGCAACTGCGGCTGCTCGTCTGCCATTACCCTAGCTTTCGCTTTTGCTACCGACACCTATCAAGCGTAACCGCGGCCACTCGCTCCTACTATCACCCCAGCCTTCGCCTTTGCTACCAGCACCGATCAGACGCTACCGCGGCCGCGCGCCTGCCATTACCCCAGCTTTCCCTTTTGCTACCGGCACCGATCAGACGCTACCGCAGCCGCGCGCTCGCTCCTGCTATGCCGGCTTTAACTCGGCCACGGTTAGCTCGGACAGCGAAGAAGGCACTGTCGGCGGACATCCTGAGATATCTAGAGCCTCATGATCAGGACGAAGACCAGGATCAGGACGAAGACCAGGATCAGAGTGAAGACCAGCATCAGGACGAAGACCAGTATCAGAGTGAAGACCGGCATCAGGAAGAAGACCAGCATCAGGACGAAGACCAGCATCAGGACGAAGACCAGTATCAGGACGAAGACCAATATCAAGATCAAGACCAGTATCAAGATGAAGACCAGTATCAAGATGAAGACCAGTATCAGGACGAAGACCAATATCAAGATCAAGACCAGTATCAAGATCACGACTAGCATCAGGATGAAGGCCAGTATCAGGATCAAGACCAGCATCAGGAGCGTACACGGCACAAGCAACATGGTACAAAGAAGCGCAGGTTGGCCACCATCAAAGAGGAGGACACTTTAGGAGATGTGTATGATTTTCAAGAGGGGTCTGATTTAGAAGATGAGTATGCTTCGCAAGATGAGTATGCCTCGCAAGAGGAGCATGAAGTATGGGAGGAGCATGAAGTATGGGAGGAGCATGAGAAGCAAGAGGAGCATGAAGTATGGGAGGACCAACGGAAGCGACCTAGGAAGCGGCGTCTTTTCAGGGACCACCAGCCTCTTCAGGTCCAGACGGCTGCCCAGAAGACATCATCAGTGGAGCAGGACGAACTCGACGCAAATGGCTTTCACCTATCAGACTTTGAGGACGAGAGCGATCCGCAGACCATCGGCGCTGAGCGACTTGCATGGTCACCTGTTCACGTCCCCTTCTCCGACGATGCCTTGTTTGACATCACCCTGACTGGCGACGATGTTGTGCGCATGGTCGAAACCGCCTTTCCTGTACTCTCAACATCCAACAAAAGGATGAAAATCTTTTAGGACTCGGTAAGTCCTGTCTGTACGAAAAGCATGTGAAACATATACTGACTTTGCACCTCTACCTTTGCAGCTCAACGAGCACCTCCAGAGCTCACCGCCCTTCAGCATACCTGTCCAAGAGATCAATCCGCATACCTGGCCCTTGACGAACCCTGTTATTGACAGCCTGTGGAATGAAGCAGCCGCTGCGGAGGTTGCGCTTGACATCCCCGACACGTATGGAACAATTATTGTAGCGGAACCTGCACCTCATACGTAAAAAGCTAAACAGGTCTGCAGACTACATTAACCTAAAATCTTTTAAAGTAGGTGACCTAACGTTAACGTAGGCTCTAGGCTGTTTAGCTTTTCCCTAGGTTGGTGTGCCTGCGTCTGGTCACTTCTTCCACTAGTAGATCCTTGGCCTTCTCTCTGGTCTTTGAGATGGACTAAGCCTTTCCGTCTAGGGCCTTGATAGTCAAGAGGATTTAGGTGATGATGTAGCCAGCAAGTTTGCGCTTAACGTCGTCCCTTTTGTAGTACGTCAGGGCATCTGATGGCTTTACATTATTAGCTGCCCTGACTTTCATGATGGCCTTTCGTTGCGTCTCATCAATTCCTGATGTCCTCTCTAAGGTTTTGTCTAAGGAGGCCATGTCCAGTGGAGGCCGCTTGAAATGATCGCTAAGGGTGTTGTTCTTCTTTGCGTCGAAATTCCGGAAAGCCGACATCTTAAGAATGCTGCCCGTGCTCAACTAATAGGCGTACCCGGTTGTTGAGAGGAAGTAAGGCAGGTAGAGTTTACCGAAAAGCTGGACTAGGCAGTAGTCAAATATCCGCTCACGGAATGCAAACTGCCTTTGAATGTCCGTTAGGACAGACGCGCGATTCCTCGAGAAAGCTTCGGGATGTGGGATCGCGAAGGCCAAGCGCCTTATCTTCCTAGCCTCGAACTGCAGCCAAGCTAACGGGATTTCATGCTCGAATCGTTTCTTTCCAAATGTCCACAAGACTGTATGCTCGATCTCATTCTCCTGAATGTAGGTCATGTACGCCTTGGCCGCTATTCCCCCAACGACAAGGAGGACTTTTGCCTCAGAGCAAGATATTATCTTGAAGGCATATTCCTGCCAATGTCTGCGAAGTTGAGTGGGAAGTGTTCCTGCTCGAAAGAGGGTCGCTTCACCACCCGGTACAGTCTTGCGATCTATTCGCCGGGGAAAGACGTCCACATGGAACATCGAATGCTCCCTGATATCAGCGACATGGAAACCCATCTCTGAGTACAAAAGCCACATGGAAGAGTTGGACATATCGTGGTTGGTCCCATAAGCCAAGTGCACAGTTGAGTTGACGTCAGCAGTCGGATATGAGGACAACACCATGAGAGAGTCGTTGGGGCTCCCACAGGATTTGACTAACAACCTCTCTGACATATCAAGCCATGCAAAGTCGTCTGTAGAGTCAACCTGGTGGTCAGGAGGGTGAAGAGCTTTCTCCGCATCGGTAGCTTGGCCCCAGTAGCCATCCATTGCTGTGTTTGTAGTTGGCCATGTCGTCGGATACTCCTCGCGCACTGAGATGGTGAGCGGTGGCGATGTAGACAGGTGCTCACGAGCTGACTGGTAGAAATCCGCCATGGCACTGGTTGCAAGGGCGGGATAGCCGCGTTCTACCATCCTTACGACCTCCTCGCTAGACAGCGTGGTATCCGTTAATTCTTGATCAGTAAAGGGCAGGTAAACCCATAACTCTCGTTCCGCTCTGGCAACTTCTGGGTCTTCAGCAACAGCATTATAGACATCCCATCCATGTAGTTCTTCATTGTTTGGGCGCTGTATTTCCCTAGAGTCTTCTGCATCCGAACTAACTGTGGCCTTAGATATCCTCTTTCTTTTGGCCTGTGTGACCATAGCTCCGGTAGCTCTAGCGACGGGCAAGTACGATGCGCAGCTGATGAAGAGGCAGGCGGCTTGGACCGAGGTCGATGTAACGATAGACAACAGCTTCAACCGGGTCAGTTGCTGCGGCAGCTGATGAAAAGGTAGGCGGCTTGGACTGAGGCAGATGTAAGTAAAGACAGCAGCGGCGACTTAGACTGAGGCCGTCGTGAGTAAAGACAGCAGCTTCGACTGGTGCGGTACAGCATTGACAACGGCGGACGTGGGTGCACGATATCAGTGTAAGCATAGCTGCTATTCTTCTTTTTATTCCAACGATGACTGAAATGAAAAGTCCCACCATGACATGGCTGATGAATCGGTGATGGATAGCCGTGGGTATCTAAACGTGAAATGACCTGGACGCGGCGTAATAGCCATGCGTCGTATGTCGTGTGGTGTTATCCTTATGCCTAAACGCCGAAAATTCCATATGCAAAATCTCCCTCCCTCATCCCATAATTGCTCCGTTATGCAATGCGTTTTGGCATGCTAACAGACCTTCGCCGATCCGCCTACCACCAACGCCGTAGATGTCTCATCCAGAAGACCATGTCGAGCCCTAACATGTCGAGTCTGACAATGCAGGAAACGTTTGACTCGTTAGTTATCTTGAGCGGTCTCAATCTGGGCATATTCCTGCCAGTGGCCATCAGCAGCCCTCTTCCAGGTACGAATGCTAGCGTCATCTCCAGTAGTGACTAGAAGATCACCTGTAATAATTGTTAGTTGTGACTGTGCATGTTCTTCCGGTGTGACTTACCCATCTGCGAGAACGCGACACGCCAAACCGCTCCGTGATGATTGGTAAGCTCATCGGTCATCTCTACCTTCTGCTTGATGCGACCAGGATACTGCTCGTTCTCAATGGAAGTGTCGGGGGCCTTGGAAGCTCCTGCCAGTCCAGCTCCGATACCAGATGGGGCGTTCTGTCGATGGCCTCGAGGAGAGACTGAAAGCGGAGCGGAAGACGATGCTTCTCCAGATGCAGTGTTCCTATCCTCGGTCTGCGTACGAAGCTCATAGATGCGAATAGCGCCGTCTTTGCTAGCTGTGGCCAAGATGTCGTAACCTCGCATAGAACCATTCGCCCAGGCTAGGTCTCGAATGATCTGACGAGCACCCTCTAGCTTCGCAACTTGGAAGAAGCGCTTGGCCTTGTCGGTGCGGAAGACAAGGACATCTTTCATAGCAGCAACAGCGAGGGATAGCGACTTGCGGTCAAGGCCAGCGGTGATGGCGGTCCAACAGGGTAGCTTCTCCTTGTGAAAGACGACCTTGAAGCCTACCTCCTCTTGGCGCTCGGGAGGGTTGTTCTCGGAGACCCAGCGCTCTGCCAGGATAGTCCATTCGTGGAGATTGTTCTGATCCTGGGGCTCGTACACAGTGAGATAGCCGTCGCGGGTGATGAGCGCGAGCCAGGTCTCCTGCATGATGTTCTTGAAGTCCAAAGACATGAACGGCGCGTTGGTCAATGAAGGGAGTACGTAGACCAGCTTGAAGCGGTTGCCAGACATGGCCACCTCGGTGACGTCCTCTTGCCAGATCTTGCAGCGACCATCTTCACCAATACTACCGACAACCTCGCCCATGAAGGGGCCGTTCCACTTGACCTGTACATGAAGTTAGCGACGGGTCACAAAGGTGGCAAAAAGGCATGCAGGTGACCGAAAGAAGATTTGCGGCTGAAGATTAGATAACTTACATCGACAATCTCGGCATCGTGAGCTTTCCAGCTCTCGACCAAGGTCCACGAATCGTCCTTCTTGTCCCAGACCTTGACGCGGTGATCTGAGCTTGCCGTGACCATGCGCGTGCCGAAGTAGTTGAAGTCGACAGCGAGTACGAGGTCCTGGTGGCCATGCGAGAAGGTCTGGAAGCTTCGCTCTGCAGCCATCTCAGCGTAGGCGCGATGCGCACACACAAAGGCCACCTCTAGTTGGTCGATGACGCGCTGCTCGACGCTGCCGGTGCTGCCGTCGGCGCAAGGCTCCTGAATCAGGGGAGCGATTAGATCCACGTGCTCGATCTCGTCTTCGAAAGCGGCGGCGATATTGAGATGCGGTCTCCGTGCAGGCGACCGTGCTTCCTCCTTGGTGGGGCCCAGCGAGGACGAATCGCTGACTGCAGCAGAGGGCAGACGCGACGCTGTCAAGTGCTGGAGGAAACTTCGCGACGCGAGATGACTGCTCACCGCATTCAGACCGTCCAGGAGCTCATCAGCCTTGGCTGAGCGGCTGGCTTGGTTGTGGTCCGCCATGTTGATGCCAATGTTCGTGGGTCTATCGTTTCGGGTTAGCAGAGCAGGAAGAAGCCGAAACAACACCTTGCCAGAATCTCTACTCACCAAACACCGCAACCACGACCTCGTGCAGATTGTACTGCTCTGTTCGTCTCTGGCTCACTCTGCGAGCTTGTTGGTTTCGTTGCTGGAGTCGTGGATCTGTTCACAATCTTTATCTGTCAGTCTCAAGTCCACTTCGAACGATTCACGCAGAGTCACGCTCCGGGTTCAGACAAAGAGGTGGCGATTCGGCAAAACGGCAGGTCGTGACGGCGTTGCTGTGGGGAGGTTGCGCAACCGTTGTTGATATCGTCGCGACAGCAAACGGCCGCGCGGAGTCAACAGCTACAGGCGTCCACGTGCCAAGATCCGCCGTCACCTCGACATCAGACACTATCACTGTCACCATGGCGAGCGCGCTATCATCAACAGAATCAATTTCACTGCTCTCCTTGTCGCTCGCATGTGTCGGTGTGCTGGCCAACACGCTTCACGGTGACGGTGAGCCGCTTGTTGCGTCGATAGCGCTCAGTGGTCTGGCCTTTGCATTCTGTTATGCTTTGATACGATGGCTTGGGGATGCCTTTGCGAAGCGTGGCTTCAAAGGGAAGGATCTATGTAAGCTGAAGCAGATTGAAATGTAAGTGTCAAGTGTACTGTACATGAAAACGATTTACTGACAGGGATAGCCCAGAGATGATGGGCGCGGTCTGTGCTATGGTGTATCTTTTCATCTTGATCTTCTTCATACCATGGCCGTTCTACAAAGACATTGTAGTCGCAACATCAGGCGGCGGTAGCCGGGACACGATCAAGGAACTGGAGCTGATTGAGACCGGGAGGCTACTACACAGGTTTCCTCACAACAAGCTTGCGTCCTATCTGTCGGCCATACTTTCCCTCCAGTCTATCGTACTGCTCGGTATTGGTGACGACCTGTTCGACATAAGATGGCGACACAAGGTGCTCATTCCAGCCTTTGCAGTTATTCCCATGCTCGTGGTTTACTTTGTCGACTTTGGTGTGACGCAGATGGTCGTCCCACTACCACTCAGGCCTTACCTTGGCGAGCTCTTTGACCTGGGTATGTACTTGCATCGATAGCTGTTTCTAGATTGCCCATTAACATACGTTCAGGCTGGCTTTACTACGTCTACATGGCGCTGATGTCCATCTTCTCCTCGAATAGCATTAACATCTTGGCGGGCATCAACGGCATCGAGGTGGCCCAGTCTATAGTCATTGCAGTCCTGATTGTCGGCAATGATATGCTGTATCTCTCACCATTTACGACGTACCCACATCCAGCGACGGATTCGCATCTGTTTTCGCTGTATCTGCTACTGCCGTTTATCGGTGTCTCGATGGCGTTACTGATGCACAACTGGTATCCAGCAAAGGTGTTTGTGGGCGACACTTACTGTTACTTTGCAGGCATGGTCTTCGCCGTAGTGGCCATCCTCGGTCACTTCAGCAAAACGCTCATGTTGCTACTCCTACCGCAAGCGTTCAACTTTGTCTACTCGGCACCCCAACTGTTCCACATCGTACCATGTCCCCGACATCGGCTTCCGCACTTCAACGCACGGACTGGTTTACTGGAGCCCTCGCGCGTCGAATTCACCAAACCACTACGACGACCGATAGCGGAGAGCCTCAAGGTGCTGCACCGGCTTCGGATGCTCGATGTTGAGACGGATGGGAAAGGGCAGGTGGTCTCGTCGAGCAACTTTACACTAATCAACTTGTGGTTAGTATGGTTCGGTCCCATGCGGGAGGACCGCCTAGCTATGGGTTTGCTCGCGTTCCAGTTCGCGATTGGACT